TATGTTTGTAGCGAATATTCATCATCAATAAAACTTTTCATCTTCTTCTTCGTTCCTCTCTACAAATTCTCTCCCTCTCAACTCTTTTTCAGCAGAATCGTTCGAGCAATTCACATCCCTTGCTCCTACTTCTGTTGCGTAGATACTCGGATTGAACATTCTAAATCATGTTCTACATCATAATCAAATACATATGATTTGAACAAACTCATTTTTAACAATGATCCACTATGCATTGAATCAAATTGAAAATTGTTTCAGATTGCGCCACCAATCTGATCAGGTCCGTTAATTATAATAGCTTTTTGAAAATCTTGATATGAAGAAGAACAAAGAGCATGGAAAAGCTAATATTATCACATGGAATTAAAATAAATTACCAACAAGAAGTTTAATTAATTAAGGTGATCGAGAGATGCTTGAACAACGAGCATCTAAAGCACTTCCATTCTTAGCTTCTTCCTCGGTGAAGAGGGTTCATGTACGCAAGGAAAGGATATCGAGGAGTAGAGATAGAAAGCCATCTTCGATTTTCCCATACCAAAAGTTTTAGCACTTTAAGCCCAAAATAAATTACAATCGTATTTGTGTTCCAAGATTAGGATAGTCTTCTCATATGTTTCACATTTTTGTTCAACCCTTCTTTTTTTAAGGGTTAATATGGTTATAGTCTCTTTAAAATAAGCGTTTTTTTGAGTCACTTTAATTTTGTTGTTAAATCATCCTTACAAAAATCTTTATTTTGAAAATGTCCTTAAACATAGTTTGTACTTCTAATTTGTTAACATAACACATTTATTTCATACTCAACATCCTAATCTTGTATTTTTAATTACCCCGGACACAATTTTCGTGTCATAGATCATGTCCTTCATTGAATTATATCTCCGATTTCCAAATATCTGCAAATTTGGTATGTAAAATGAATAAAAAATGTCGGAGGTAGTAGAAATGCAAAACTAGAATATTTAGAATGAAATAAACGTGTTATCTCAATAAATTAGAAGTACATATTATGTGTAATGACTATTTTTAAAATTAAAAACTTTGTGAGGATGATTTAACAAATTTTCTTTACAAGGATAAAAACTAAAAGTCACATATTTAATTTTACAAGGACTAAAAGCATATTTAACTCTTTTTTAAAATCATCCTAATTTGTTTTTAATTTTTATTATACTCAAAAGTGCTCAATATTGGACAACTATGTTGTTCTTTTTCCTTTTTTAATATAGATTTAGTTATTCTAACCTGAAACAACATGTACACTAAAAAAAATGAGTCCACATCGAGCTATAACTTGATTTGACCAATCAACTGGTTAAGATAATAATATTTCAATAGAGTAATTGTTAGAGTATAAAATACATTTTCTAGGTTACAACCACAACTAGGGATGACAATTCAACCCGAACCCGAGCTTAACTGACCCGACCGACTACTTAAATATCCGAACCCGAACCGAAAATAAAATAATCCGAACCCGACCCGAAATTTTTTACCCGAACCCGACATCAGGTTGGGTCGGGTGTGGATTTATAATTTTGCCCGACCCGACCTGACCTGAACCCGACCCGACTAAAACCCGAATATTTTATTACATAAAAGTCTATCTATGGATATAATGAGCACTCCGTAAAATCTCTTGACAAAGTGCTACTATATGAAGTATGTCTTTTATAATCATTTTTATAATCTCTTAATAAAAAAGGAGACATAAAAAAAAGAGACACAAAAAATTAGATTTAATCTTTTTAAAATTATTGGGGTACGTCGAATTGATTATTGGTTAAAAGTCGGGTTCGGGTCGGGTTCGGGTTTCGGGTTGAAATGTCGGGTTCGGATCGGATTATTGGCTTAAAAGATCGGGTTTCGGGTCGGGTTCGGGTTTCGGGTTTAAAAGTCGGGTCGGGTTCGGGTATAGTACTATCCGACCCGAACCCGACCCGTTGCCATCCCTAACCACAACATTGAGCTTTTGATTGGGTTGGTTCGTTGACATGGTCTCAAATCATTCTTGACTAAGAAGTTACGAATTCGAACCTCACTCACTCCCACTCAATTTTAAAAAAATAAGGTTTCACGTACAAAATTCGAAACAGTCACGCTTGCACGGGAGGACATGTTAGAGTATAAAATATCTTTCTTGGGCTAAAAAACACAAAATTAGGTTTTTGATTGGATTAATTCCTTGACAATAATATACCGATTACCGAGTAACGAAATATAATGTAATCAAACCATAGTTTTAAAATCCGGTTTGGGACCGGCCGGTTCAAACCGTGAACTGGCGAACCGGTGGCCCAACCGGTCCGGTCCAGCCCTTTGGACCGTAACCAGCTTCAAACCAATCCAAAACGGTGTGAACCGGCCGGTCGAACCAGTCAGACCAGTTTTTTTTTTTTTGCGAAATTTGAATTTTTTTCCAAAACATGCCACCATGGGAGTTTGAACCCAAGATCTCTTGGAGATTTGGTTAAGTTCATAATCATTCAGGCAAGGGTGGTTTTTGTTGCAAGTTCACTTAATCTTTTATAATACTGAGTATTTCCTAATTTAAAAAAGATTGTATAAATTAAAGATTTCTTTTCAATTATAAAAATATAATATTATATAGCTATGAGTCAAACACAAAATCATTGATACTATTACAAAATGCATATCATGCAAAGATTTCATTTGAGTATTTTTTAATACTAAACATCTTATTTAAAAAAATAAAATCAACTCTTCATTTATAAAATTTTTAATATTAATTTTTTAATATGTAAATTTTATTTTTTAACTTAGTAAAATGACTCAAGTATATTAACATAATTTAAGTCAAATGTTATAAATTACTTTTCTTTAGGTATTTATATATGAGGGAGTGTGTTTGTCTATATGCATGTATGTATATACATACACACATACATACATACATACATATACATATATATATATATACACATACATACATACATATATATATATATATATATATATATATATATATATATAATTTTTAAATATGTTTAAACCACCGGTTCGACCAGTGAACCACTAAACCAATACCTTGACCGATTCGGTCACCGATCCGGTTCTGAAAACTATGAATCAAACTCATGTTATAAATTTCAAGTGTATAAAAGTTTCTTTACTAATAAGATTTTAGTTATGTTTTTCTTTTTTAGTTGTTCGAAAAATATCTCAATTCCATTTAAAATAAGAAATATTGGATGGTTTACGTTATTTTTCTCTTTTCTACATAAATTGTCACCATATTGTTCCAAAAAAAAATTGAACTTTAACCCTACAATTTACATTATGTAAAAATCAACTGATGACATTTACTCCCTCCGTCCCTAAATATTCACAGCATTTGCTTTTTCAGCAGTCGCGGGAACTTTTGTTTATTTCGACGTTTTCATTGGTTATTTGATAAAATAAAATATTCTTGACACCTCTTATTTCGAAGAACTTTTCATATAGTTTTTTTATATGTAATTTTTATTTTTTATTTCTTTACCAATATGTAAATAAAATGAATTGAAAAAACTTGATATTTTGCCTCGGTAATAGAAATGTAACAAATAATTTGGGACGGAGGAAGTATTTAGATATGAAGGGAGGAATTGATTCCTAAAAAAATTTCTTTTCACATTTGCTTTTGGGTAAACATATTTTTCTCAGTTGTCTATGCGGAAAGATTTACGAGGCGGCCATTGTTCTTGTTATTTAAAATTAAATCACAATATCACACAATTCCTTTTTTGAAAACACAATATCACACAATTTAACTTTAAATAATCGCACCAAATCAAAATAAGGAACTTTTAAAATGACGAAAAACTGAAAATTGAATTTAGAGAAAAGTATCCCAAATGAGATCGACTAAACAGATTTTTTTTTTTAATTTTTACATAAAAAAGACCATTTAATTTGGTCCTACTGGGTGCAGCTCAGGTTTTCAATTTCATTTTAACTTTTTTGTTCTTCTTGATAATAGTTAAACCATTTACTGTTCTCGTGACTGGATTGTAATGTTAGTAGTTAGTACATATTGTCTTCGGGACTCAACAGTAATACCAGTTTTTAGTGCCTTTGTCGTGCCATTGGGCACTAATGCGTGTTTTTAGTGCATAGTGCCTTCGCAACTATGTAGTAATATTGGTTTTTAGTAAAGACAGTATAGTCCGATCCTTTAATCAAAGTTCTAGTCTAATGTGTTAATTAAATCCTATTTACATAAAACACTATGTAGTCTGTAATTGTTCTTAAATTTATTTATGTTTTTCACTCTTTCTAACTTGATTTAGCTTTAACACTATATACATTTGGTTCAAGAAATTTGAAACGAAAAGAAAAGAAAATAATTTTTTCTTATTTTCTTCGCCAAAAATTAGAGGAATTTGGTTTTTCCACCCCTTAATATTTTTTTTGCTTTCTCATTTCTTTTCCTTACACATTTCTTTTCCTCTCTAACCAAACAACAAAAATGTTTACATTCTCGTTTTCTTTTCCTTTCCCAAACACAGTGTTAAGGTCAAAGATATGAGTGTTTTTGGCTGGATATAGAATTCTTTACACCTTAAAACCATCAAAATGACTTCAAAATATAACAAATTAAAAATTAATCCTTTTAAAATAAACCACCCTAATTAACTTGAGTGATTAGTTTGTATACTTCTCCAACAACAAGAAGAAAACAAATGCAGAATCCAAAAGCAATTAAGATATAGTATTTAACTTAAAATCAAAGACAAAGAAAGAAGAATAAAGTACATATATATATACCTTGTTAGCTCAACTTCCTTATTAGCTAGCTTGCCTTGACCATGAAGCAAATATATATCTTTACAGCCCTGCAAATTAAATCCCCTCTAGCTAGAAAGAGCAGCCTTACAAGAAAAGAACCAAATAACAGCCTTGTCGTCATTCTCCCAAAAAACAAAAACCAAAAAAAAAAAAAACTCTGGCTACTCATCATAGTATAAAACCCCCTTCCTCCTGCACAAAGCAATAATAAGTAACACAAACCTTCAAAACTACTTCTTGGTTTTCGATCGTCTTGAGTTTAATTAAGTTTTTGATTGAGTTAGTCTCCACTAAGAACATATATATACAACAATGGCCGAAGGAGGACAGCTTAAACCAGTGGCGTCTTTTCTTTTGGTGCTGAATTTCTGCATGCACGTCGTGCTCTTGGCCATCGGCGGTTGGGCTATGAACAAAGCCATTGATCACGGCTTCATCATTGGTATGTAGCATAATCGTATAGTCGCTTATTGCCAATTTTTCTCTTGTTTTCTCTTTTCTCATTTCTTTTTTTTGTATTCAATTTTAGAAAAGGATGTGTTTCAGAACATTTCTATCTCATCTAAGCAAATTCAAACTTTTCTCTTTTCATAATTCGACATATTTTTCTTAATTTCTGGAAAGTTAATGATAGAATCTAGGATTGGGTATAGATAATTAGATTGAGCAATAAGACACTTTGGGTTGAACCAAATTAAACGATTGAATCCAATCGATTACTTAGTTCAACTCAAGAACTTATATATCGATAACTTTTATATTCAACTTCCAATGTGGGATAAACTCTAACACTCCCCCTCAAGTGGACAACCGGGCCATTTTGGGCCAAAACCTGCTCCGATACCATGATAGAATTTGGGATGGGTAAGGACAATTGGAATAAGATAATTGGGTTGAACCACATTAAAAGATTGAATCCAATCGATTACTTAGTTCAACTCAAGAACTTTATACCGATAACTTTTCTATTCAACTTCCGATGTGGGATAAACTCTAACAATTAAAGTGGTGTGCAGATTAAGTTAAAACGAAGAGAGCAATTAATTAAATGTATAATAAATATTGTACTCCGTATCAAAGTTAATGGGTGGGATTTGAATTGAGCAGACACCGGACTTAAGCTCCCGGCGAATTTCTCTCCGATATTCTTTCCGATGGGGAATGCGGCCACCGGATTCCTGGTCACATTTTCGCTGATCGCCGGAGTTGTTGGAGTGGCATCTGTCATTGCCGGAGCAAACCACATCCGCCGTTGGAACGTTACGAGCATGCCCGCCGCTGTTTCTGCCGCCGCTATTGCCTGGGCTCTCACTGCCCTTGCCATGGGGTAAGTATTATTCAGTCCGATAATTATATTCTCGTTCACAATTCACAGAGTCAAATTTTGTACACTTTGGTAGTTATTTTCGTTGCTTATTTGATAAAATAATGTAGTTACTACACATCCAGTTTTTTAGAATTTTTAATGTAGTTTTTAAATATGGGATTTTTATTTTTTAATTTCTCACCATTTTTTAGATAAAATAATTTAAAAATAATTTCAGTCAAACATCGTGACGCACAAAAGAGAGTAATAATTATTACTCTCTCCCGGGGTCCAAAATACGGAGTATTTTTTTTTTCATTTTATCTTTCTTGGTCAATCATTTTAAACTTTTACTAGAATTATATTCCCTCTCTCTGTCAAGGAACCAATTCAACCAAAAGCTCAAACTTGTGGTTGCGGTTCAGAAATAATTGTTATATACTCTAACACGCCCCACCCATTTTGTATAATGAAATCCAATAAAAAAAATTAGAGAATACTCCGTATTTTTCACAGTATTGACGGAGAATACATATATGAATCTTGCAGGTTCGCTTGGAAAGAGATTGAGCTAGGCTTTAGGAATGCCAAGCTGGTGAGTATTACTCATTTTCTCCCAAAATTATTGTGTTATTTTGACTTTTAATTTGTTATTTCTTTAACTACTATAAATTAATTAAAATATTAAATAAATAAATATATATACTTTAAAACTTTGATGTATCAAAAATACGTATAATATAAATTGAATCCAATTATATTATATTTATACTACAACTAAATACGGAGTATATTTAAAAAAACATTATAACTAAATATTTCATTTTATATAATTTGTGATTAAAGTGACAAATGGAAGACAAAAGTTCAATCATTAACTACTCATTAACTATTATGAGTGGGTATAATACTTATCTCAGAGTCTAAAAAATTACTTTAGGATTCGTATGATACATGAAATTAGTAGAATTAAAATTGAAATTTCACAGAATTGAATATGATGAAATATGAACTTTTTAAATTCATATTTTGCATTACTAATTCTAAATACACAAATTTTTGTATTACCAGCAAACGACAGAATTAGTATTAAAATCTTCAATTCCAATTTCATGACTTGAATTCTATGTACCAAACGGAGCCTTAGTTCTTTTGTCATTTGTTATTAATGTCATAAATCGTAATATGACATAGAGCACTTGTTCCCTTAGTAAAATTTATGATTTAGTCTTTACAATCCTCTCCACCACAGGCCATTGATCGCCGATTTACCAATGACAAATATATAAACTTATGAATTATTAATTGGCATTTTTTCTTTTGAACTTGGGAAAATGCAGAGAACAATGGAAGCATTCACAATTATCCTCACTGTTACCCAGTTGCTGTACATAGCAGCCATCCATGGCCCTGCAAGGGCGCAATAATATAACATCGAGCAACCATATATTATACTATCCCCCCATGTATATTGCATATTCAAATGAATTGTCATCACCGTCATCATTATTTTTTTTAATTTGGTTTGGTAATAATTAAATTGAGTGCAGTGTGATTGATTTACTAAACTCTTTTTCATTTGGTTGTACCTTATATATCTTATTTTTCGATTATTACTCCGTATTATTTTTTCTATTTGATTCTTCATCGTTTAGTTCAATGAAAACATATATGTACTCCCGTGAAATATTATTTAACTTGTAGATTGTATGTGATTATATATATATATATATATGTGTGTGTGTGTGTGTGTGTGTGTGTGTTGTATGGTGTAAAATCATGTTATATTCATTACAATATGAAATAAAATATCAGATACGAATATTTTATTGCGGGTCGGGCCGCTTGATCTGTTTGGATCACTTCCATAGGCGGATATAGGCACGATATGATGTTTGACCCGAATTATGAAGGCGGACTAACCCAAATATATGGGCAAAAAAATGACCTCATACCCAACCTAGACTTGGTCCTAGCTAGTCCGTGTTTATGCAGGTCTACTCAACACAACTACTCCATCTGCCCCATTTTATAGCGTTTGTTTTAGTTTATGGTGTTTGACTGAAGTTATTTTTAATTCAATTTACTTGAGAATTCGGGTGGAATTAAAAAAATAAGATTTACATATTTAAAAAGCTACATAAAAAACTCTTCGAAACAAGAGGTAAGATTTTGTTTATATATATATATATTTATCAAATAGTTAAAATATATATATAATTTTATCAAATAGTTCCAAGGTGTTGGCTAAGCTTTTGGAAAAATAGATACTCATATCTCCTTTTTTTTCAACAATGGAATAATCTTAGGAAAATCTTGTCATTTGCCGTAATTGTTACTGCTATCAACAAGCTAGACTCACTTGTATTTCTTGTATAAGTGGGTGCCATCAACAGAGGCAACATGAAAACAGTAGTTGGACCTGTCTATGGATGCCTTGAAAGACCAAAAACACATGAACTGATACATTTCGAGTGATGCTATTGGCCACATTTGTATCTCCATCATTGAGTCAGGATTGCTTTGAATTAGCACCCCTACTATAGGTAATAATTTGTTATTCAAATCCTCCCATGACTTGTACAACCGTTAAATTGCATTCGACTTAGCCAACCAACTCTCCTTGCATGTTACAGGTACTCGAAATAAGTCATACACATCTTTAACGATGATATACCTCACCTTGTAATCAAGATCATCTTTAATTTTTGAGAATATAATTTCAGAAATGAGCTTTCTTGTAATAAGCTTATCATCATTCTAATCTGCATTTTGGACAAGTCTACCATACAATGGGCCTAAAGCCCATCATATCCTCACGACCTCACACAAGTGCACCCAATAATTTTTTGACCTTTAGGGATAACCAACCATAGAAGTGCCATCCACGAGACCAAGTAGGATCTCGACACCCTGTATTGTGATGCTGTGATGCCATCCTCTTCGAAAGGGTGATGAAAGACATGGGTCCTAGGTCGCCATCTCTCGACTAAGGTGGTAATTATAATTAGAGCCCAATCCATCTATAACTTATTAGAACCCCTTTCGACCTCAAAAAATCCATACTCTGGCAAAATCTTTGTAACCCATTCACGACGCTTCACTGCCAACCCTTCACGCAAGCTACTCAAAAACTTAACGCATGCACTCCAACGGCACGTCCGCAAATGCCTGATCCTACCACACCTTATGATCACTTCGATGGTCGCCGAGTCCTAGAACTAGTACGTCTCTAGCTCACAAGTGATCCCGCATGGACGCTCGTTCTTTTCAATTTCATATTTCTACGCAATTAACATTTTTAATCTAGCTAATTTAAGAGAAAAATAAAAAAAAAACAATTGTACAACTAGATCAAATTGGTAAAATAAATGTATAAATTGGGTTAACCTATATCATCGTCTCATATTCATCTCATTAAAATGTCTCTCGCTAGAGTCTTTTGCCCCTTAAATATTTGTGCGATACAAAAAGTGACAAAAGTAGTCTAACATATATCCGATCCGTATAGTGCCGCAAAAGGCAAAGGTTTAATTCAAAGCATAGTTAGCAGACGATCGAAGCTAAGAATTCAAAGAATATTAATTAATTAAAGGGATATGATAGGATTCCCTCGCTAGCTGATGACTTTATCATGAAGCAATGATCTACACTACATTTTTTCTTGTCATAAATTTAATTTTCTTTCCTTTATTAATACGAATGAATTAAGTGAAACAATAACTCTATCTATACTTTTTCCTTTATTAATATATACTCCCTCTTCCCTTGCTTAATCCTTTCCAAACAGTTACTTAAAATTTAAAGAAGACATATTTTTGTGTTGAACTTATAAAAATATTCTTGATGTGCATAGGCAGTAGATATGATGGGATAGATAATACTCCCTCGATCCTTCCCGTAAAAATTTTCCGATTTTGACTTTTGGTGATTTCAAGGAGAATTATTTTTGTGTTTGACCTTCCACAAATGCCCTTAGGGTTTTTTTTATAAAAAAAGTGATGTTTTGGATTAATGAATAATTAAAAATAATGGCAAGGAGTGATAAAGAAACAAGATGAAAGATGAGATGTGACGAGTGGCATGCAGGAAAGTAGGGTTAAAGAGGGTATTTTAGCCCATTTTAGAGAAATTGAAATATTTTATAAGACGGGTAATATGAGAATGTTAAAATATTCTGTGAGCTGAAATTAAAGGAGTAGAATTAATAAGAATAAAACTAAATTTTTTATAAAAATGAGAAAGAGAAATTATGGGACATGGAAAAAAAAGGAAAAAGAAATTTTGGAACAAAGGGAGTATATGAAAGATCGAGTTGGCCTTACAACCAAGAAAAGAACAATACTCCGTATATATTACTTATAAATATACTCCGATCCCCAATTAAGATAGCTATGTAATTCATCTATATATTCATCTTCATGATCTTTAAACTTGAAGAATTTCACTCCATATTTCTCATAGCTAGGATTGAAGCAATTCCAGTAGTAATTAATTAATTAAGCTATCTAATTAAGTACTTTAGAGGATTAGAAAGGGGAGATATATATACATCAATGGCTAATAATAATAATAATGAAGAGAAGCCATCAGTTGTTGCGTATTTTCTTGTGACGTTGAATTTGTGCATGTCAATTGTGCTCTTGTCCATCGGCGCCTGGGCTATCAATGAAGCCATTGATCACGGCTTCATCATTGGTATGTTTTCTTTTTGAACAATGCTAGGAGAGGTGTACCCCATTTGTCTCCCACCTCTTCTCCACCATCCATTTTTATTTAATTTTTATTTATTTAATTTTTTTTTAAAGTTTTTGCTCATTTGTGTGGTGGAGGAGGGGGTGGGGGACAAATGGTTTGGTGTACCCCTAGCATTTTTCTTTATTTTTCTATGCTTAGTACATATATAATACTTTCCCCGTTCATCTAGACAGTTCCTATTTTGATTAATGAGAGAAATAAAGAGTGTATATTTATAGTTGACTTTTTAATTTTGTACTTGATGTGGTGAGTTAATTATTAGTGAAGAAGTATAATGTGATAGGTAGAGTAAGAATTAATAAGTGTAAAAGTAGTTTTTTAATAGCAACGAAAAGTGTTTTGAGGAAAGAAATAAATGAAAAAGAAAGCGTTTTCGAGAACGGAGGGAGTATATACGAGGTACTCCTTTTGTCCCTGTTGAATCTTCTCATTTTATTTTTCACGATGTTCAATGTAACAATTTGACTATCAATATCTTTAGTTAAAGATAGATACAAAGTATATTACTCATTTTGTCCGTAAAAGAACATCTAATTCGACTTTTTACGTTCTCCAAGGCAGCACTTTGAATATTTATATATAAATATAGATCATAAAAAACAATATCTCAAAATTATATTTCAAAATCAATTTATTGATATACAATTTATATAAGGATTCAATATATCTTTTCCATTATTTGTGGTCAATATTTAAAAAGTTTGACTAAAAAAGTCAAACTGAGAAATACTTTTATTTACAGAAGGATTATATAAAAATGTAATACTTTCTCCGTCCCAAAAACTCTTTTGCCTTTCTTTTTTTTCTTGTCTCACAAAGTCATTCTTTTTTCTATTAAAAAACCACTTTTACTCCTACTAATTCTTAACTTACATATCTCATCATACTTTTTATAACAATGTAGTCATCACATCCTACTTTTATCCATCACATCAAAAGCCTTTTTGGAAATTCAACACAAATATATCTCTTCCTTAATGTTCATAAAAATCAAAATGTAAATATCTTTATGGGACGGAAGAAGTATTTTAAAATTGATGTACTGATATTAAATTTATATCACAATTTAATATATTTTTTCTATAATTAATAGCCAAAGTTTAAAAAATCTGACCTTGAAAGTGAAACCAAGAAGTTCAAAAAAAAAATGATGTAGGGATTATGTAGTTTTTAATGATAATAAGACGTGGGCGTTGATATAATGCAGCTGAAGGACTAGAACTTCCGGCGCGTTTCTCCCCAATAAGTTTTCCGATGGGGAACGCCGCCACCGGATTCTTCGTCACCCTTTCGATGATCGCCGGAGTAGTGGGAGTTGCCTCCGGCATCACAGAAATAAACCTAATCCGCCGTGGGAAGAACCCGGAGAATGCGGCGGCTGCTTCTACTGCTGCTTCTATTGCCTTCACTCTCACCGCCCTTGCCATGGGGTACCCATATATATGCATTTCTCATATTAAAAAAACAAAACAAAATAAATTTCTGCATTTGACTTCAGGACATTTTTTTTAAAAATGTTACTCGTATAAATTTTTTAAATAAATATTTGGTTGAACTATAATTAAAAATTCAAAACACTTTGTTTTGCAGGTTTGCATGGAAAGAAATTCAACTAAACGTTAGGAATGCCAAGCTGGTGAGCTGAGTATTTAATTAATTTTGAATTACTCAATGATATTCTCTTAGATTCAACTAAAATAGGTAACATATATAGGAAAAGAACTAGAATATAATAGGACATTAGTATTGATATTGCCAAAATATAGTACTCCTTTGGTCTTAAAATGTTCTTCATGTTTCTGTTTACGGGGTTTGATTATGACTCTATAGGTATAATTGTATAAAATTAAAAAATAAATCAAAAGATCTACAAAATATGAAACATGTGAAAAGTTTATATTATTTTATCAAATAACTAAC